TGAGCTTCCTTCCTCTGCCTCTATAAGGTTATTCCCTCAGTCTTTCTTACTATAGTTTGATTAGTCAACAAGTATGTATCATGCATTTTTTTCACATCAGAAATTTGTACACTAATAAGACATAGTATCAGAAATCAGTTTATTATCAGTTAGAGTCCATCAAGGAAAGCACAAACCATTATCAGTTACTTCAACCTATAATTAAACACAGCTATTGTGGGGCGTGGTGGCTCACGCCTGTAATCCAGCCCTTGGGGAGGCCGAGGTGGATGGATCACGATGTCAGAAGATCAAGACCATACTGGCTAATACAGTGAAACTTCATCTCTACTAAAAATACAAAGAATTCGCTGGGTGTGGTGGTGTGTGCCTATAGTCCCAGCTAATCAGGAGGCTAAGGCAGGAGAATTGCTTGAACCTGAAAGGTGGAGGTTGCAGTGAGCCAAGATCGGGCCACTGCACTCCAGCCTGGGTGACGGAGCAGAGCAAGACTCTGTCTCAAAAAAAAGAAAAAAAAGAAAAAGAAAAAGAAAAACATGAAACAGCTCTTAATAATTGGTTATGCTTGTATTGGAAGAGCTGAAATTTGAAACAAAGGACAGCACAGAAATCTGGATGTTAGCAACATCAGAAAGCTTCTTCTACCATTAGGCCTACAAGGACAGAAGGAGAAAATGTTTATATCATCAGAGTTCAGAACCAGAGGTCTTCTGGATTCAGTGAGATACTGGGGGCTCCTTGGAGAGAGCCAGGACTAATGGGGGCATCAAAATATCAACCATAAAAAAGATTGTCTGCTGTAGGAGATCCCTTCAGGGAGAGGAAGAGACAAAGAGGAGGCCAGAAATAATCTTGCTTATGCTTTCCCTCACCCGGTGTTTACCACTGCAGAATGTACATGGGACCCAAAGGGTGAGGAATCCTGGGAAGTGTCAATTCCTCAAATGCAGAGAACACTTGGGGAAGGATGAGAAATAAATCTTAAAGCAGAATGGTAATTTAGAGAAGAAAACTAAGCTGTGTCCAGTAAATGAATAATTTTAGCATGTAATGATTATTGCAATGATTAATGTATTAATAAGATAATATGAAAACACAGAATTCAAAGAGCAGTGAACTGAGATTAGAATCATGAAGAGCACTGGCATTTAAGACACAAATAACAATAAAAATAATTCCACTTACACTTATAATGTGTCTCCTATGCATTGTTCTGTGCATAGAATATATCATCTCAATATTCATTATCTAAAAATGATAAATTAGGTACAAAGCTCAAATAATTTATTTTTTCAGGTTAACAAGAATGGAATTTTTTTCTTTTGGGGGGGGGATGGAGTTTCACTCTTGTTGCCCAGGCTGGAGTGCAATGGTAAGATCAAGGCTCACTGCAACCTCCGCCTCCCAGGTTCAAGCAATTCTCCTGCCTCAGCCTCCCAAGTAGCTGGGATTACAGGCATGTGCCACCACACCCGGCTAATTTGGTATTTTTAGTAGAGATGGGGTTTCGCCAAGCTGATCTCCAACTCCTGACATCAGATGATCTCAGCCTCTGAAAGTGCTGGGATTGCAGGCATGAGCCACTGCACCCGGTCAAGAATGTGAATTTTGTAGAAGGATATAACCCGAATTTCTCTGACCATAGAGTCCTTAGTATTTCTCCCATACCATGTGGCTCATCCTCTTTACATACATCTCTCATCTTTCACCCTGTCTTTTCCTTTTCATTTCAGTTTTTCATTGTCTGTCAAAATCTAGAACCTTATCTCCTACCTACTCTGAAACCAGCAGCAGGTTGACTTCCATTCTAACCAACATTGGCATTACACTAATTAAAATTGATACCGAGTTCTAAAATCATTAGGCATTTTTGAGACTCTGTCTTACTCCATACTTCCTTGAGATTTCACATTAAATATTGGTGTTCATTAAAGGTCCTTTATTTAACTTTGTACTCATCACACTCTTGGATTCACAATTATATCTAAACTCTTAAATGCAGCCTGCATAATTCCAATTCCCAAGTCTGATTTCCAGCTCTGACCTCTAACCTCAGTACCAAACCCGTACATCAAACTGTGTACTAGGCTTACTTATATAGATGTCCTATAGGCACCCCAGACTCAGCATGGGTATTTCACTTTTCATACTAAAACTGTTTCTCTTCCAGTGTTTTCCATTTTAGTCCATTTTATCTGCTTGCCTATTCACCAAAGTCAGAGACTTAAAACCATTTCCTTACCTCTAATCAATAGTTCAGTTCTGCTTGACTTTGTCCCTATGTATTAATCATCACTTTTACTGCCCACAGTCAGGTCTTCATTGTTTCCTGGACAAGAGTAGATGCTATTCTCTCCACTTTATACCTTATCCTGCTGAGGCGGGCAGATCACTTGAGTTCAGGAATTTGAGACCAGCCTGACCAACATGATGAAACCCTGTCTCTACTAAAAATAGAAAATTAGCTGGGTGTGGTGGCACATGCCTGCAATCCCAGCTACTCAGGAGGCTGAGGTAGGAGAATTGCTTGAATCCAGGAGGCAGAGGTCTCAGTGAGCCCAGATCGTGCTATTGTACTCCATTGGGCAACAGAGTGAAGCTCCATCTCAAAAAAA